TTATGCATTAAGCAATATTTGAACAATGGTACCGCTCGAATTACTCCAGTAATGACTTGCTCAATGATCAACGAATCCTTAGCAGACCATAATTTCATTTCTGGGGAGGACTTTCATATATCGAGGGGTGGGGGATGACTCGACGCATCTTTTAGGACAACGTGAAAATTGAGACCCAATGCCCTCTTTTAAGCAATAAAAAAGGTGAACTGCTAGTTTCCAAGGCGTCCTTTTCAAAACATCTTCCCGGATGAGGTCCTTAAGAATTGAGACYCAATGCCCTTTTAAAGCAATCTCGTTCGGATGAGGTTCTCGAGAATTTTAAAAAAGATTACAAGGAAAATGGACAAAATGGCTCGGGTGACTTGCTGTAAAAAATTGTAAATACAATAAGCTTTCTTAGCTTTCGAGGAAGATGAATCAGTGTTTCCTTTTTTTAGATTTTACCCTGAATACCTACAGCTGCAGAAGAAGTGCTAAAATAAAGCAATTCAAGTTCTCATTCGGCGTAAAGTCCGTAAAGTACAAAATGCACTTGATGCGGTGAAATTCTATTGTCCATTAAGATTATCTTGAAAGGACTTAAAGGAAATTAAGAGCAAAGCAAAAGGGTTTATTGTTGTTGAAGGAGGTTACAGCCGGACGTGCTTCTTTAATATTACAGTGACTGCTATAACGGCATATTGGAACGGGAACTAGCATTGCCAACAACATCATCAACAACAACAACAATTATTATTACTGTGAAAATAATTTTACAAAAGAAAGACATCAGAATTCTATTTCACTCATAAAAATAACACTGCTTTACTGCTTTCTCTGTAGAAACCATTTGATCAAACTTATAGCAATATTTCTTTAATGTGGCGCTCCTTGTGAACGCTGGACTGACGTCTWCAAATTAATCAAAGATTACAGTAGAGAAATTGTGCTGATTTCATGTCTTAACTTCCAGTGGSAACTAAAAATGATGACGTCTTATAAAACAAATGAGAAAAGAAAACGACAATTAGTAAAATAATAATGTTGATTTAGTTTTATTGCAATGACCAACACACAAAGGCGGCTCTTCAAGAAATAACACTTAAAGCACACAAGAAACATCCTTCTTGAAAGGTTGAGTCAACATTTGTTCATTAACGATGGCCACACGTGCGCCAGTAGAATTAACTTTGATTTTMGTTGACTTTGTGTTCAGTTTAAATGAGCAGAATGCATATAGAAATAAACTGAATCGGTTTSCTCGTGAGGTTTCAGGCAATTTCTTGTTGAGTTTTGATTCACGAACACAAAAGATGTTTTCCAAAAAAAAGAATTCAAGTAGTTCTATTTGTTAATCTTGAAGAAGCACTACAATTGATGATAGCTTGTRCATTGCTGCAAATTATTGGATCGTTATTTTGATTCGCGGCCGGTCGAATGAAAAAAGAAAGAAAGAAATATTACTCCAAAAATCAATAAAATATAAAAGTGCACAAAGCATTGCTTCCCCAGAATAATATATGTCTTGGAACTATAATATAATGTTTGCAATTGCTGTTTTACGAATCTTTTCTCAAGATTCAAGCACATCGGCGGCCATTTTGGACGCTGACCAACACTGCTTGCTTCCATGACGTCATCTGAAAACCAGGAATATCGGGTCGTAATAGCGGGGGTTCGATCACTCTCTGTGTCTATATTTCAAAGTCTTTATGTAACGTAGATATACCAGTACATCCATGTATGATATATATGTGTGTTCATATACACTTCACATTGCTAGGAAGCAGTAAAACGAGCGAGGGTTGRATCTGCGAATCGTTTTGCGGGGCCATAAAAGCGCGAACCATGCAGGGAGATACGATCTGGTTTGTACGCGGTTATACAAAAAGACCAGATGAAGAACGCTTGGATCTCGCTTGTAAGGTTATCTTTTTTAAGAAGAAAACAAATAAAATCGATCAAAGCGTGTTATTTCGACGTCTTGCTACGTATTTACCCAAAATTGATAATTAATGTAAAGAAAATGCTGKATTGACAAATAATTTCCAAATGATAAAGGTCTCTTAGAAACTGTTTTGTTGTAATCTAAAATGCAAATTTTCCAAATTTTGAGCTGGCTTTTGACAAAATATCACGATGTATTATTTTGATCTTTTTGTAGGAACATGCAAATCGTTATCAACAATTAAGTTATATTTGGTTATGATAACTCTAATTACAATTTGAGCGACAATCGGAAGCAGACGTTGAAAGGTTCAATTTTCAGAGGTTTATCCTGCTCCCAAACAGTACCTGACTCGTCCGAAGTATCAAGCAAAAGTCTGCACAACCAGTAYACGATGGTGCATATCTAGCAGATCTTGGCCGCTCTGCGCAAAGGTTAGYACACTAAGCATTTCAGTCGATAATTCTTTTYTCTGTTTGTTTTCTCGTGAAGWGCCTGAAGTAAGTCTTTGCCTGGATTATGACAGAAAAACATCACTTCATTTTCAGTATAGACTCAATATCATAAATAAAAATTTGAAAAAAAWAMMAMMAAACTCTCGATATATTCCACAAGTAAATATTCGTTACTTCTATAATTTCCACGAGATGAAAAGACTCTGAACAACTCGAGAAAAGTTTAAATTTCAAGAGGAAAATGCAATGCTTTCTCTTCAACGGAAATAGCTTTCCAACGGAAATKTTTACCAATTATTCGCAAACTCTTGTGAAGTATTATAAAAAAGSTATGAAATCACCTGCAAATTRAAACAGCAATTCATACAACTTAGCGAGGGCTTTTCAAATGGACTGATAAGAATTTGTTGGAATATCCTCAACTTCCAACTGTTGTTGACTCAAAGCAATTTTGATGTTGTCACATCTGCACCTGCCCTAATATTCTCTTGCTCCACAAGTTTTCTTCCAGAATCTCCCTTGACGCCAAAACAACACTTTTTGCAAAGACTTAAAAGYGACCGAAGAAGAGCATTCTAAAGTGACAACGTTGAAAATGTTTTAGAAGATCAAAATCGTTAAAATCCTTAAAATCTCGTCTTCAATTCAAGACTATTCATATTCAGTCTTCCTATATTTTTGATCGAATTTGAAGTATAACAACAAGCCAGTTATGAAGTAACTATTTAAATTAAAAAGTAAAGATATCAATTTTTAATTTCCGACTGTTGACTGCAGTGAAATAATTAAGTTATTCTCAAAAATATTAAAACCGACAAAACATGTTTCCCTATCTTTTTGACAACGATGAGAACATGTGACAGATAAGATTAACAGGCAATGCACGAACTGCATGTATTTAAAGTTAGTGATTTTTTCATTTGTTTTGGGAACACTAGATAATGACATTCTCTCGTAAAAGTGTTGGAAAGATACGAGTTTATAGCTTTTTGAAACAACTTTTGTAAATGAAATCCACGTCATGCCGATCTGTAAAGCTATTCAGGAATCAAAAGTTACAAATTTATTTGCGCCACAAAAGCTATATAGAAATTCGACATCTCTTGTATGAAACTCTTTTAAAACGCTTACTCTTCATCGCAAATAAAAGGCAAAGGGGAAAAAATGTGATGTGGCGCGAACGAAGCAAAATAAAGCGTCCGTATTCCTTATAAAAACATGAAACAAGGGAAACTTTTCTCTACTTTCATCTATTAGGTGTTGTATCTCGTGATCTTTCTCTTTTCTTTTAAATGTATCTTCCACATTCTATGCTACCCAGAGAAAGAACTTAGCCAATAGATACAACCAGTTAATGTAGTAATTTTCCTTTGTCACTAATTCCAACAACAATGGCTGCCATTTCATTGTTAAAAATTGACTCTCGCTGATTGGTTGTAAAAAATGGTGCGGTGTGTTCACACAGCTTGCAAATGTATTTTCATTGTTCGTTCGTTTTATTATCTGTACGTTCACTAAGCGTGCATGTGGTATGATCTACAAGGCCAATGTTACAGATATCCAAGCTAATGAATTGTTTGGAACTACAAAAGGAGTCACCTCATCTAATACAAGAATTAATCTTTATGTTTTCAATGACAAAGGAAGACCACATCCATCAAGTGGTCTTAATTTAGAAAGCTAATCGAGTTTTAAGGTTTTACGAAGAATATAAAAACTGATTTAAGAACTACTTTATGTCTATATCAGACATAAGTTATCAAATTAATTTTAGCCMTTTGACGGTCGATTACTCACTTTGGAGGTAGTTGCACTGGAAAGAAATCCTACCCACCACCCAAAAAAAAGTATCTATTTTATTAAAATTGAAATTATGCATTGGTATTCTTATGCCGCCGACTTCATTGGAGCCTTAAACGTTTTTTTGAWGCATTGCTTTTATATAAAAATTGTGTCGGATTGTTTTTTAGATAAAATTGTTCTAAAATAACCATGATTATTGCATTAAATCAGTACTACCACTATTTCATTATTCTATTACTGTTATCAATATTTGATATTATCTGATAATTATCACCTTGTTGTGGTTATTCAAGACTAATTTCGCTATTACCATCCCTCCGGCTATTRTCGATATCTATAATCCTTGATTTAATTAGTCCACAATCAGACGACTAAGTTCTGAATCCTTTTGCTTAGAACCAAATCAGTTTTATCCGTTTTGACTGCAATAATAATATGATTAACGATGTTAATAAGTATTGTTTGCTTTACTTAACAGCTTTTCCTCTCCCGCAAACGGAAAATTTGTTTTTAAGCGCAAAACTAAACCCCATTTTTTTCATTTCATCGAATTTTGTGTGCTCCAAATAAAGCAGTTTGTGTTTAGCGATCTTTCAAAACGTCCAACAAGGTAAAGAACAAGAATTAAAGGATTATATTTATTTGACCAAAGTCTTATATTTTTTTATTATCCCATTGCTCACTTCAGTTAGATAGGTAAACTGATCGCGGAGGATTTCTTTCTTTCG